CCAGCCAGCCGGGCCTTGGGGAACACAAATGCCCCGGCGTCGTGGGGAAGGGAGGCGGGCGGGCTCGTGTGGCCGGCGGGCCCCGGCCCCGCTCCCTCGCTGCCTCGCGGTAGCGAGCCGGTGTTTCGCCATGTGCCGTCTCCTGCCTGCAGGTACCTTCTGGGGGGAAAGGCGGAGGCCTCGGGCAGCGGCTGGGGACTCGGGGGCTGTGTCCTCCCCGGGGTGCACAGTCAGTGCCCTTCGAGCAGAAGAGTACCTCTCGAGTAAAGGATGAAGCAGCTGTTTTTCAGTACGATCGGAAATACTCAGGAGAGTGCTGCCTGCTAGGGACAAACGTTAGGTACGCTAGTCAGTGTGCCACATTGCCCCGCTCTGGGAAAGGTGCGGGCTTTCTAATGCACGAGGGTTGCTATCAGTGCAAGTTAATGCTCGTGTAATACTTCGCAGGTAGAGAAGGGCCAAATACTGAGCTATTTTAAGTGGCAGCATAGTTTCTTAAGGGAAGCCCTAAAAATAAACTTGACGGAACGCCGGTAAATACATTGGGTGCAATGGTCTTATATGGAAAATTAGGAGGTGCTGAAGACCTGTGATCTGCTGAAGACCTTTGTATCTCCGTGGTATGTTACCTTAAAGGGACTTTGGTTTATTGTGAACTCTGTTAGGTTACATAATTTTTTTTCTCCATGTGAGAATCTTCCTCTATTTCACATGCAATAACTTAAAAAAACCCTTACGTTAAAATACCTTGTCACTTTTAATGTTGCCAGCTATGAAATAGCATGAACCCACTATTGCAATAAAGACTTGTTGGGTGGAGGGAGATCAATAAAAGTCGTAATTTAAAAAATACCAAATGCTGGGAGAGGTACCTGTAGGGTATCAGCAAATTATAACAATTGCTCTTGTCAAGAATTGCATGATTTTGGGTTTTTTTCTTCCTCATGTTACGGAAGCTGTGTTTGTGTGGGATGTGTGTGGGTTTTTTTTTTTTTAAGTATCCTTTTCGTAAAGCAGTATTATAGATGCATATATTGTAGTATGTTTGGTTGGATTTGTCAGCAGTAATTGATAGATAATGATTCCTGCTGTGAATTTTATGGATAATGCACAGTAAAGAAGAAAATACAGTTAATCTCTTCTTGGGTGGTATTGAAAATGTAGCAACGTACTGCCCTTAAAAACATAAAATCAGCAAGCTCTTTAAAGAAAAGGACAGTTGAAAGTATGTAGAACTGAATGTGGCATTATGATTAACTGTCATGGTATTAATCATCATTAATCTGTTCTCTTAATAGAATTGTCTTCACAGAAGAAATTTGATGAAATTAAGAAGGCTAATCAGGCTGCAGCAAAAAAGCTAGTTGAAGACCAATTTAGCTCCTCATCTGAAGATGATGAGGAAGATGCTGAAGTAAAACAAGGAAAGATTTTGGCCAAAACATTCACCATTTACACCAGTCAAACTGGTAAATTTTTTTTTTCTTTTATTGACTTTTATTTTGGTATGAAAGCATAAACAATGCTGTATTATTGGTTGTGTATTAGAATTTTTCCATAATTGGAGGGAAAACGCTTTATTCCGATGACTTGTATTAAAAATATTTGTTCCCAACGATGCATGCTGGCAGTACTTCTTGCCTTTTTATGCAGAATCAATGGTATAGTTTTGAAACTGTCTTAAGTACTTCTAATAATCTGGTTTTGTAATAATATGTGCCTGGCCTCTGTTCAGAGAAAAAAAGTAATTATACTTTTACAGCAGTCTCAACATGTACAGAATAGCAGATCAAACGTTACTGGTTGCTTTAAAAATCTTTATACATTAAAGATGGAGATGCAAGTGAACTGGAACGTACAAGACAGTACATGAATGAAGCTTTTCAGTCGGGGGCTATGACGTGTCTGATCTGCATTGCTTCAGTTAAAAGGAACCAAGCTGTAAGTATTTTGCAATAGTCTTTTAGAATGAAGCAAATATAACTGTCTGAATAACTTGCGTTTAATTATATTACTAAGGTAATTCTTGGGATTGATAGTTTTAAAATGATAGAGTACTAAATGCAACATTGGGCATCTCTGGATTTTTCAAACACTTGAAGAAATAAGTGCTTATATATATGTAGCTTGTAATCAGAATATGTATTTTTTGACATATGTTTGTTATCGTAATGTAAAATAGTTATTTTTAAATTTTAGAGAGTAGCAGATGAAAAAAAGAAGTGCAGGAAGGCCAGTGCTTACAATGGTGTATTCAATAAAACTGTGTTGTAGCAAACACTAAAGCAAGAAATAGTAGGAAGTCAGGAAATATTCTTGTTAGATTTCTAGCAGGGGAGCTAAGATAAACTTCGCTACCCCAAATGCTGATCAGGTGAAAGAGAAAGGTGGCATGTCTGAGGAGCTTGTCTGAATTCATATAGGTACATTTTTCATGGGAGAGATTTCAGGACAAATCTTTTTCACTTTTATGTATCAACTTCCTTTTGACGTTGACAGGCCCAACCCTGTTTCTGTTACAGTTACTTGAATCAAATACATGTTTGCAACTGTATGTTTAACATTAAAAGAAAAAAAGCGCAGAAAATCTTTAACTTCTTATGCTGGATGTACATGGACTACAAGTATCCAATGAAACTGTAGTCATTAACTTTTTTTTAGAAAGAAATGCAATATGTTTTAAATGAATTCTTAACATATTTAATCCATATTTTTTCAGACCTTAACATATATGTTTAGCTTGATTTTAAAGTTCTGTGTCTCTTGATAGAGTTAATCTCATCTCAGCCCAAGTGAGATGATTTGGCAACTTGGAAGTCTTCTTTTATAACCCAGTGGTTTGTTAGTTATCTTGAATCTGTAACGTTTTAGCCAAGTGTGTTTGTTAACTTAACGTCTCCTGTTTAGCTTTAGTTCTGGGCAGTTAGTTACTGTACTTTCAGAAACTTATGTCATTGACTTTGTCCTCTATAAGTTAATGGGGAAATTCTCCTTGTTTTCACAGTATAATTTTATAACAATGCCATAAGTTATTAAAAAAAATAAAGAAGTTCAAACTTAAATTTTCTGCTGCATTTCTCTTACCAAATTGTTATAGTCATTCTAAGCTGACAATTTAAGACATCAATACGTGGAAAGTACCAAAGTCATAAAACTGCATTTCTGTTATTTAAATTGCTTTCCAGCAGCAGGCTGGTATTCTAAGTAAAAGCTTGTGACTTCACTCCAGAACTGACAAAGAGAAGTACACTGGGAACAAGAACATAAAGGTTTAGTGATGGAGACAGGATACTGGCAAAATCAACTTTCTCTTAAACACATTCGCTTTTAATTCTGTTCTGTTTTATACCTCTCTTGCTCTTTGAACAAAAGACACTATGTTGAAAGCCACACTTCTAATCAAATCTTTTTCTTACTAGCGTTGTATGTAAATCCTAAAGTTTGGAAGGGGGAAAAAATCATTTTAGTACTTTTACTACCAAGATGTCTAGAGACCTAGAGTATGGGACAGGGAGAGAGGTGGAGGGAGAGCTGGGCTTGTTTAGTCTAGCAGAGAGGAGGCTAAGGGATGATATGATTGCAGCCTCTGTCTACTTGGAGTTGTGAAGGTGGCTAAAGCCAAAGTCATCTTTGTGGTGACAGGTGGTGTAATAAGGTGCAATGGCACAAACTGGGGCCTGGGAGGTGCAGATGGGTACTAGGAAGGTAGTATGACACTTGGAGCAGGTTGCCTAGGATGGTTGTGGAGTCCCCATCCTTCAGGATTTTTCCAACTTTGCTAGGCAAAGCTGTAACTGAACTGAGCTAAGTTGGCAATAGTCCTACTGTGGGCACAAGGTTATGCTACATGACGTCCAACAGTGTGTTTAAATCAACATTTCTGTGATTATATGAGTATTTTGGGCTCCACAAGCCTTGGCAAAAACTTCCCACAGCAGCAGGAAAAAAGATTATAGGTATGAATCTGTAACAGTAAAACTGCCTGTATTAATCTAACAATAGGTATAATCTATCTTTGGAAACCCACTTTCTTAAATGGAAAAATAGCAAGCTTGTATGTCTTTAGATATTATGGATGTTCATCAATGGAAACAGAAAGAAACCTAACATAAAGCAATTGGCACTTGTATCTGCTCTCTAGGTCTGGAGCTGTTGTGGATGCTTTTGTATATTTCACCTGGTGTGTATCCAAAAGTGGGCCAAGGACAGCCTTTTCCTTGTGTCTTCTCCTTTGACGGATGATGATTTTGGGAAGAAAGATTATCCCTGGCCATGGTGAGCTCTTCGTGGTACACTTACAAAGATACTTTTATTGTGAAACATATGTGAACTGGAGTTACTTTAGAAAGGAATGGTACTTGTAAACAACATGCACACCAAAATAGTTTAGAAGACTGACTTTTCTACTGTTTTTCTGAATTATTTTTAAGTTTTCATTAACATGATTCAGGAATATTTCATAGTGATATTAAAAACCTGCTGCATCAAATTTGTTTTAACCTCTGAGAAGGTAACTTATCTATCGTCTGTCTCGGCTTCTAATTTATTTCTGTGAATGGCTTTACATATTTATCACTTTTAAATCGGCTTCTAATATTTATTTCAGAATGGCTTTACATATTTATCACTTTTAAAATTGGCACTGTGAAATAAATTTAAAAAAACAGTTGTAAAATAGCAAGATTTAGGGATTATTTTTTTTTTAAGTCTTTGTATAACTCAAGCATTAAAGCCAGTCTTACAGTTTTACGTGACATTGTATAAAGAAGAAGGTAATATTGTGGCTGCATGAATAATGAAGCTTGCTTTTTCAGTAGGTTTGTGTCTGAAAGTTCAGTCAAGGTTTCTCTGTGCATGTTTGTTCTGGGCTTTATTTGCCCACCTACTTTTATGTGAAAACTTTTAGTAATATTTTTCAGACACGGTCCTCTGTCAAATTTGGTTGAAAGTGCCTGGTAGTTTCAAAAGCTCTATTAATGTGGGATCTCGGAGAGCAGGTTTGCTTAGGAAATCGGGTATAAAGTTGTTGGCTTGCAGCGTCTCAAGTTGATAATGCCTATTCTACTACAAACTAGGTTTGTGTTTAAGCATAATGTTTATAATGAAAAAATTTCCAGGCGAATGGTATTTATTTAACATTTAAGTACGTGATAAAACTGTGCAGTCACCATGGAGACATGGTTTATGGCCTGTAATGTATTATATAAGGGCAAATTGACATTTTATTTGATAAAAATGAGTACATAGGTCTTTCAAAGCCTCTATTCTTCTCTGAGGAAGAGCTCCTTGTCTGTTGTCTTTTCCCAGTGGAGCCAGAAATGGGAGCTGCTTTGTTTCTCCTTCCTTATGTTGCCTCCCTCATCCATGGCTTGCACCTGAAAGCCTTTAGGGCTTGTGGCACTTGCAAGTTCCAGACCTTTGGTGCCATCTATCTTTAGGAGTAATGTATTTTTTAATATCTGACACCATCAAGGATAACAAATTAAGGTGTGCATCTTATAATATCTAAGATGCTGAACTGATACAATCTAAAATATTTCAGATAAAATTTTAAATATTGTGCATAGCTTTAATAGCATCACTAAATCTTGTTTTACATAGCTTATAAATTGCTACTGGTAAAAACCTGTTTTTTAATCTCTTTTTTTTTGATTTGTTCTGTTTAGGTTCTCTCCTTGTTGCATACATTTCTTTGGTATTACATAAAAATTGTTCTGTATGCTTGCTACAGAGTTTTTTGATTTGTTCTGTTTAGGTTGTCTCCTTGCATACATTTTTTCTTTGGTATTACATAAAAATTGTTCTGTATGCTTGCTACACTGAGTTTTTTGTATATATTCTTAGAGAAAAAAGATTGCAGTGATAGGACAATTGCTTAGACATTATAATGAATATATTGTAAAATCTGACATATAGCAAGACCTTTACTGTATGTTATAAATTTAATTATGTTGTTATTGGTTACAGTATTTGAAAAATGTTAATTGGTAGCCTGGTAACAGTCTTGGGAAACTGAAATGATAAAAACTGCTTTTCTTTTTAAAAAATTCTTCAAAAAATTGATTTTCTTTCACTCCTTTTTTCCCATGTTGTAGTCCAAAATGTAGGTTTGAATACAAACGGTCTGAAACTCCCAGTAGGTATTATTGTTACTGTGGAAAAGTGGAGAATCCAACACTGGACCCATGGCTGGTACCTCACTCCTGTGGTCAGATATGTGAGAGGGAATTCAAACCTTCTTGTGGTCATAAATGTTTGCTGCTTTGTCATCCAGGTAAATCCATTGCGTCTCTTGGTTGTGTGACCTGTATTTATGTAGCTGTTACATAGTTCTATTTAAAATCTGCTAACTATATTTAAAATTCTCAGAATAAACCAGATGTAGTCAAGGCTGCATTTGCTGAATGGCCATTAGTGAGATACTCTTTTTCCTGTACTTAGGACCCTGTCCACCTTGCCCGAAGATGGTCACAACAACCTGTCACTGTAAGAAAGCTAGACCAGTGCCCCGAAGGTGCAGTGCCAAGGAATGGTCATGTCGCCTGCCGTGTGGACGAACATTGCTGTGTGGACAGCACGCTTGTGAGAATTCCTGTCATGCAGGTAGACCTGCCTTCTTAAACTTCAGAGGAGTAGTTGTTTTAACTGTTAAGATACATCATTCTTTTGCAATTCCTACTCTCAATGTCACTTCGCAATTACATACAGGAGATTGTCAGCCTTGTCCACGAGTTAGTAAACAACGATGCATCTGTGGAAGACAGACAGCAGAAAGACTTTGTGCAAGTCCTCAGTGGCAGTGTGATCAGGTATGTTGAAGCTGTGCTTTTTAGCTTATTTCTCATCTTTATAAAATTTGATTGCTCAGTGCATTAAGGATTGGAAAAACTCATTTAGTAAGAAAATAATTTTATTTTTTAGGTTTTGAAAGTGCAATCAAAAATGTAAGCAGCAGTGTTTGAGAATGGATCTACTTGGTGGCCCAGTTCATTTCTGACAGTAAATGTCACTGTTCTGGAATTGTGCTAGGGTTAAGATAGCAGTGAATTTGACCTTGTATATTCTATTTTCTTGTACTTGAGGTTGAAATTTCAGCTGCTATCTTCAAAAACAAGCATGAAACCACAGCTTAGTAGATAAGAGTTTCATGCTTATTTACTTCTAGTGACTGTAACAGAATGAAAGCTTTGTGATTCGTTCTTTGAAGTGTATTTGCAGCTCATTCTTAGGACCAAGGCTATGGATTGACAGACTGTAAAAAATAAAAATAATTTAAAAAATTAAGTGGCAGGGGGGAGGTTGCACCAGGAGGTACTTGGTCATTACGATCCCAGTAAGAACGGCACTCAGCTTCTGTAAAGTATCAATTAAAATGCGATTTATTTCAGCCAACACTCCAGAGAAAGGGAGTATAATATAAATAATAGTATGGCCCTTTTAGATGCTGGGAACCCTAAGCTGTGCAGTACTGAATGGGACCCTGATCCACGTGCAGCATGCAGTGCAGACCCCATCTGTAGAAAGGGTTACCCCATTTTGGTCATTGAAGCTATTGTAGGATTTTGTTACAAGAAAGCAACTCTGTTCATAATTTCTACTGTCAAACATAAAGGATGTTGAGATGAGAACTTCTTGCTGCACTTTTAGATAAAGGCAAGGACATGCAGGTGGCATAATCACTGGTACCAAGTGGGAGTTGCCTCCAATTTCCTCTGCCACAAGAAGTTTATCCTGTGGCCAAGGGATACGTGCAGCACAACACAGGCCTGAAGGCCAAGCTGTACGTGCAGCACGACACAGGCCGGGGAGTACTCGGGTTAACTGTTACGTGAACCACTAACTCCTCAATATACAGTGGTCTTCCAGTCAGGATCACTGCAGGGGTGATCAGTTTTATTTGGTGAACTCAGTGAATATAAGATTAACAAAATTCAGGAAAAAGTTAAATTCCATCCAGACATCTCCCACCCCTAGTTTTTCCCCTTGGGTTGCTTTGTCTTGTTATGTAGTTCTGTTACATTGCATTCACTTGGTTTCTCCGAGTTATCCAGGTGTGTGGGAAACCTTTGCCTTGTGGTAATCACACATGTGAACAAGTTTGTCATGCTGGTCCCTGTGGAGACTGTCCTCGTTCTGGGAAAAGGTCCTGTCCATGTGAAAAATCAAGTAAGCTGCTTTTTTTTTTTTTTTTTTTCCCCTCCAAATAGGATAAATAAAGAAAAAAAGTCATCCAGTCTTTGACAGTCAGTAGTTTAGGTTAATTCTGCAGGGCAGGATCCATAAAAAGTTCTTACAAATGGTGAACTGTGACAGCTTGTATTAACTTTTTTGATTAATTCTTCCAAAGCTTTATTTAGTACCAGGGGTTTAATTGGCGATGTGAATAATTGAGTAATTCTAGATAAGCTTTTAAAAAAATGAGAGAGAATTGGCATTTGAAGTCATATCACACAGTGCATTTTTTTCCTAAATGTTTTGGCTTTTTTTCTAAATGTTTGCTTGTATTTCTCTTTCTTCATCTAGGGTTTACATTGCCTTGTACAGAAGATGTGCCCACCTGTGGTGATAGTTGTGACAAAGTTCTGGAATGTGGCATCCATAAATGTTCACAGCGCTGTCATCGAGGTCCCTGTGAAATATGCAGACAGGTTAGTCTTACTGTAGCAGGCTCACATTTCGTTAGGGTTTTTAAACACTATATGCCTGGAACAGGCATAGTCTCCTAAGGAAAATGAAGTCATACCTATCACAAAATCTATGACTTTCTGTTCATTAAAAGCAACACATTTTTTCCCTATTCCTCCCCTGCCCCAGCACAATTCTGAATTAATAGTTGAGCATTATGTATCTGAATTGAGGCATGGGTGAGGGTTTTATTGTTTTGGGTTGTTTTTGTTTTGGGGTTTTTTTTTTAATTAATTATGCCATAAAGGCGCTTAATTTTTTCCCCAGCTCTTCTAGCTTCCTTGCTGCTTTGTCTTATGCTATTTCTTCATTAGTGAAATGGAAGATGCTGTAACATAACATTATTTCCCTGTTAGTAAGAAAATAATATTTTGCAATATTGTATCAAGAGCAAAAGCCCTTGAAGTGGCTTTCCTCTTGGTGAGACCAAGGCTACAGTGAGGTGTCATCTAGAGCACAGTGTTTGCAATACCGACACAAGGTCCCCAAGTAGTTATTGCACAGATAGGTAATCTGCTTCGAGCATGTGATATACTTCCTGTTGTGATAGAGCATTGTAATGTTACTCTCCCATGAACTTTTCTTTACAGCTAGTAGTAGAACACTTTATTTTCCACTTTTTTTTTTTTAAATTAAAAATACCCTGCTTTTTCCCCTATCTTGCTGCCCAGGAAGTTGAAAAACAGTGTCGCTGTGGAAAGCACACTAAACGCATGCCATGTCATAAGCCATATCTGTGTGAAACAAAGTGTACTAAAATTCGTGATTGCCAAAAGCACCAATGTAGGAGAAAGGTAAGTGTCCAGAGATGATCTTTCTCAAATGTATTGTTTAGATAACATTTTTTTATTTAGATAATATTTTATATTATATATAAATCACATCAATCTCTTGTTCCACCTCATGTTATTGTATAGAAAGAAGAGTTTTCTTCAATGTCATTCAAAGTAGTTTGCAGTGTACCAGAATTCTCTGAACAGCATGTCACCAAGAAAAACTCAGTGGCCTTAAAAACTGGGAGGGGATTTTGACAACTTTCCGGTTCCAGAAGGCAGTTTTGCTTTCAGAGACTTGAGTAGTTACTGATACTTTATGCATTCCTGAGTAGTTAAATCCATTTATTTTCTTACTTTGTAGGAAGAGCTGGGAATATCTCATAACTTTGTAAGGGACATACTCTTATTTTTGACAATGCAGCATTCCATCCATCCCACCTTCTACTATGCATCACTGCAAAGAGCAGTGGTCTGACAATTGGGAATTTGGGTTTTGTTTCCCTTCTCATTTGAAGTCAGAGGAATGATTGATAGCTCAGACCTATCTTTTCAGTTTATTGATTCAAGAAGGCCTGAAAGTTGTCTGCTATGTGTGAATTAAGGCATTACGAAAGTTGGACTTACTACCACAAAGAGGCATGAAAAATACAGTTTTATTCTTAGGTATTTTTGAGTATTATTATTATTACAGTGAATTTTCTTTATGTGAAAAGATGGCAAAACAAGTAAATGCAATCTTGACATCTTTAATTTATGCTAAAAAAAATCCAGGTTTCTCTTCCTAATTGGCATCCTTCCTTATACAGTTTGGAAGGAGGGTACCTTTCAAGTTAATAGAAAAGATGGGGTTCTCTCCTGACCTGGCATCCACCAATGTGGTGGTGGTGTGAGGTTCTGATTCTTCCACATCACTACTTTATATAAGAACAGAAAGTAGATAACTGATCCTAAAGTTATCTGACCTTTACTGCAAAGGTAAAAGGTGTTCAAAACACTTTTGTGCCAGGGACGATATAGTGTAAAAGTGGAAGAAATTGCAGAGTAATGGGGAAAACTGTTGGATATCATATGTGTAATCTTCTGAAATTATTTTGGATTAAAATATTATAAGAATTTGAACTTTTAAAATGTTCTTATGCTTTTTGGAAGCCCTCTGCCTTTTTAGTGCATTGAAATGATGCTTTCAAATGTGTGTTTTCTTGTTATTTTATAATTTGAAATTTTTAAAACATCTTTACAGATGACCTCCTTTCTATACCTGGCATGAATTTGAGGAAATTTGACTAAATGGCATGAAAATTTTTTTTAAGAAGTATTAAAAAAATGAGATAGTAGAAGAGGGCAGATTTATACCAGAAATGTCTAAGTTTTCAGTTACATAGAGTATTTTTTTTTTTTTAATAGTGCTGTCCTGGAAACTGTCCACCTTGTGATCAAGTCTGTGGGCGGACTCTAGGCTGCAGAAATCATAAATGTCCTTCAGGCTGCCACAGAGGTAAGAATAGGTGAAGGATCCCTGTAGTGACAGAATACTGTTTATTTTTGCTAAACTTTGTGCTTGCATGCCTCTGTGAGGTGCTTAATGAATTCTCTCCCTTATTGCATGCGGGCATTTTGCGGGGGCAGTGTGTTTGAAAGATTTTTAGTGCTGGTTAGAGCTTACATAATGACAACCTGAGTTTTTACCTGGTAATTTTGCGTAGCATTGTTCCTCTGAAAATACTCTGTCCCCTTTCCAGCTGCTTAATTCAAAATCCATGGCTTGACTTTTTTCCCCAGATAATTCTGTTCACTGAATATACGTTACAAAGTCCAACTACAGATAGAAATGGCTGTGCTGGTTGAGTCTGGATGGTTTTTAAGAATCCTAGAATACAACGTGTGATACGAGTGGGCTTAAAAAAAAGTTGATGGAATTTGAATGTATATTGGTATCTTACTGGTAAAAGAGAAAATAAGAACTTGTTACTGACTATGTGAAGGATAACAAAAAAGTTTACTTCTGTGCCCAGTGACCTTGGTTAAAAAGATGCTGAAAACGGCCAAGATTACCTGGCGGCTTTTATCCTGGCCAATTGCTTGGTAAGGGATTAAATTGGAATGATTGAAAGAGTGGCTGTCCTCTCAGCAATTTTCCCCACAGAAGCTGCTGCCCTGCTGAAACAGCAGCTGAGTAGCCTATGTAATTTCCCTTAGTATTCTGGACTATAGATTGCAACAACTCAGGAAATAATTCACAACTTGTTCAGCTAATCTTACTTTTGAGGCAGTGATTCTTAAGAGGACAGGACAAGTAAATGTGTGTCGTGGTTTAACCTCAGTTGGCAACTGAGCACCACACAGCTGCTCGCTCACTTTCCTCCCCCCTCCCCCCCACCCCCGTGGG